AAATTGAAACTGAAATTTTCCCGCCCAAAGCTATACAGGTTATACACATTTTATTTTAAAACTCACTCTCACTCAGCCTCACACTCACCCATTCTCCTCCATCGAACTCACCCTTACCGGCGACCCACTCTTGACAGTGACCCACTCCTGATGACGGCGACCCACTCCTGAAACCAAACCGATTGAGGTGGATTGATTATGTTTGCTTCGCAAACGAGAGCCCTCACGCTCTTCTCCTCCACCTCACCGAACCCGTCTCACCAGCGACCCTCTTGACGGCGACCCACTCCTCAAACCTAATCCATTGCTTTGCCCTCATTCTCTCTGCCTCACTTCGCGAACCAGAGTTCCCTTGCAAGCAAACCAGTCTCTATACCAACTCGAGTCCTTGGATTACTGGGACCACTTCGCCAAGCGAATTACTAGTACATAGATTTTACAAATCTCATTTTTTGCTTTTCTTTTATGAGTTTTCTTGATATGGGTTGTCAAGTTTTTTGTTTGATTGTGCTCTGGTCTTTCTGCGTATTCTTGAATTGGTGTTTGTGAGGCTATTTAGTTAGGTTTTCTTTGTACTTGGCAAAATTTTGGGACATGGGTTGTTATATCTTTGGTTTGAATATTCTGATTGTGCTCATATAATGCACTTGGGTATCTTCCATTTTTTCTCTATCTCTTTTTTTTTTTTTTGGTTACATTCCAATTTTCTTTTGTTTAATTGTAATTTTTTTTTTTAATTTTTATTTTGAAAAGCTGTGTATTCACGAATATCTAATGGTATGTTTGGCTGCTACGAAAACAATGGTGAAGGAAATTAATATATGAAGAAATATATTTTGTATTTTTTTGATTAGATAAAAGAAATATATTTGTGTTTTACCACTTCTCCAAGAGGTTTACTAGTACATAGACCTTACAAATCTCATTCTTTGCTTTTCTTTTATTCGCTTTCTTGATATTTGTAGTGCTAGAGCATCTCCAACGGTAATAGGCATTTTACCTATCTAAATATTACTATAAAGTATATATTTTATTTTGTCTATCAACTATTTTATGTTTCTACTCCAACCATGCTCTTTATTTTAGCTATTCATCTAAATACTATTAATTTTATAAAATGCCACATCAGCAACAAAGATGGAGGGAAATGATCCTAATGATTAAACTCATTTTGCCTAGCCTTGAAAGCTAGCTACATGTAGCTAGTGAATATGAGTTGAGCTAAAATGCCTAATCATATGCCTAGTGCATTGGAGTTGAAAAAAATGAATTATACTAGGCATTTTAACTAACAAGCATTATATGCCTAGTGGGTTGGAGATGCTCCTGAAATTTCTTGACTTGATTTTGACTATGATTTTGTAGTGATATTTGTAGTGCTATATTAGAATAGAGATATAGAACAGATAACAGTTATGAATTGTTGAGGCCAAGAGATATACAACAGTCTTCTGTTTCACTCCTAAAATATTTTTCAAACCTTTACTCATCAAATGTTTTTAACATGAAGAACAAAGGTGATTCTACACAGGGAAAGAAGGAAATGACATTTACCAAGTCTACATACAGCAAGATTACTAGGTAAATCCAGTAATTTAATATGATAGTTCTATTTTTTTAATTTTCTATTAGTAATCTAACATAATAGTTCAATTACATCATTAAACCTTGAATACAAAGAGGAACAGAATAAAAGCTGAATATGATGAATTATATAGCACAGTTCCTAATTCAGAGCAAAAACTTACAAGTTTCAGAAGCAACTTAACCTTCAAATCTACAATTCACTTTCACCTAAGAAGAGCATTGACATGGACATAACAAGAAACTTAAAACTTTCACAAGCAACACGGACACGGCACCCTTTTTAAAGTGCTAGTGGTTCATATATTCTCATAGTCCTGACATTATTTTTAATTCCTTTTCTGGACAAAGAATTTATAATACTTGTATTATATGCAGTAAGAGAGTATTATAGAATGACATATACATATCATTCCAGTATAATTTGCAAGAAAATATCAGGAGAAAGAAACTACATGACAATCTTCGGAAAGAAACTAAATACTAAACAGTAAAACAAGAAAGCTTACAGCACCTATAAATGACCCACAGAAGGTAAAAAGAATCATATGCTAGAATGTGAAGATGTGTGTGATATGCTATAGGTGTCTTTATCAATTTTTGAAAAATGGAGCTGTGATCCTTAGTTGTGAGATTGTTTGTATTGTGTATACAAATTAAAAAATGGCTTCTTCTTTTACTATCAATAGCAACCTAAGATTAAAACCGAGACTGTGCAATTGTGGAAGAACAACTACCATATATATTGTAAGAACCAATGAGCATGGAAATCAAGGGCGTTTGTTCTTTGTATGCCCATCAAAATATGTAAATATGTATTGTAAAAATTAATTCTTTATTAGTTAGAAATTAATTTATCTTATTCAATTAAATGATTGTCATGCATTGTAGAGTAACACTACCCATTGCAATTACTTCAAGTTCGTGGATGAAGATGATGAAGACATTACGTCCACAATCCGTTCCAACACTAGAGCTTGTGATGCTATAACAGTAGAAAACTTTACCAATCTAAGGACGAGACTTTATGAGATAGAAAATGAAAATGGTGAATATGGTCAAAAACTTGAAATGATGAAAAATGAAAAATGATGACTATGATCGAAGGCTTGAAAGGATTGAAAATCATTTGAAGGCGATGGTGTATGTCATTGTATTTTCTATCATTTTGTACTTTATGATGTAACTTATTGATTGGTTTGCTTCAGGAAAATTTGAGGAATGCTATTATGGATTTTATGAAATTTAACGAATGTATTGTTGACGTTTGTAGAATTTTCGATGGTTTTGATGAATGGAAATCTGATGAATGTAGTCATGGGTTTGATGATTATATGATTATAGAACTTGTAAATTATATCAATGTTGGAATTCAAGTAAATTATATTGTAGTAGCCTCTTGAAGGAGGAAAAATAAGAAATGAACCAACATGTGGAGTTCTGATTTGTATAGGTCATGCTCGATCTGTTATTTTTAGCAATCGGGAAGGCTATATATATTATTTATTGCATTGTGGCTTTTTTTAGCTGCTTTTTTTGCATTATATTTATGGCAACAGTTTGAGCTGCTTTTAGAATTTTTCTTATTTTTTCATCATCAGCTATGTGGGGATCTGCCTTGTTCTTTGGTGAGCTGTTGTTAATGTTTGTACATTACATTCAATACAAAATTATTACATTATACATTCACAAGATTACTACTTACAGTTTACATTCATCCTTCTTGTTTTTCAGAGTTGTACAATACACAATATCCACTTATAAAAAAGAACATTTGTACAAACATTAGGTTAGAGTTCTTATGATGTGTATTTTGATGTGTATACAGAATCATTCTTAATATCTTGGCCTATTTCTGCTGATATCAAAACTTCCAAAAACATCCCACACATAGCACCAATAAAAATATTTAAAATACAAGTAAATTATACAAGAATGAACACCAATCTATGTCATTTGATGTGAATGCACACCAAAACAGAACAACATCAACAACATTTCAGCCCAATTAACAACTATGAACACCAATCTATGAGCACCAACATTTCACACCAATTTCAAATTGTAAATACAAGCCATAACAACATCGACAACATTAACAACATTAACAAAACACACATTTCAGCCCAATTTCAGCAACATGAACAACAATAGTTTGACCAACAATTTCAGCAAATTTTTTAGAAACTTTTTTAGCAACATTAAGGAAGAAGCTTTCGTTTATGAGCTCCTATGATTGAAATTTCCAATGCATTCCACCTCTTTGTGCATGTCGATAGCCTAAAATGGAAAAAAATAAAAATAAAAAAACACAACAACAAATTTAGCAACTAAAGCAATGAGGTAAACTGAATTTCCCAAAAATATATATATATATAAAAACACACACAATGGACACAACAAAGGGGCAAACTGAATGTACATAAAATGTAATAACAATTGTCAAAGTTAAAAGAAGAACCTAACTATACATTGGACTACTTGATTCTTTCGAATATCAAAACCTAATGTCATATCCACATGAACCTTGAAGTAGTGATTGGAATGTTGGTTGAGTGGAATAGTGCTGAGGCGTTGAATTTGGCACAAAATTTGGCACTACATACATCTTCGGCAAATTGTTTGCCTACAACAATGTCATATATTAGGCTTCACAATCATGGTTTGAGTGACATATTATACCCACAGACCAAAAAAAAAAAAAAAAAATACAATGTTAAACTAACACTCACATGATATGTGAGATACATTAATAGAGGATGAATTGAATTATCACCCATGGCAAAAGATGGAGAAAGAGGTTGAAGAGGAGGAATATGTTGACGAACATAGATATATCCTCCAACAGATAATGGAGAAAGTCTAATTGTTGGACTTGCAATAGATTTTTAAGAAGCCAAGCTGTTAACACGAGATTTTTTTTTGGAGTTCGCTACAACGCCGCTTCGAATCCACCTTTTACCCTCCTTTTGCCCTTACTAGTTGCCACCTTTTTTTCTCAATTCTTTTGGTTGTACAACATGATTCTCATCTTCGCAATCCACTTCAAAGCTTTGGATTTCATCATGATTACTTACTTTATTTCAACAACAAAATGAGCACTTATCTTGCTTTCAACATTTGTAGTTAATGTAGCGAGTTGTGCAATTGAAAAATCATAAGTTTCTTCAGTTTCAGCATCTCTACATGTTATTGCTCTAAATACGGTCATCAATGTCTTGTATCGCGAGGTTTGTTGGAATTTCACATCTACTTGAATGTCATTCCCCTTAATGTCCTTCATAGTTTCGGCTCTTGCTTGTTTGGTCTACCTCTTTAGAATGTATTGTGAAGGAATCTCTTTCATCTTCAATATGTCTTTAATAACCATCAAAGAATGACAACACAAAATTCATTCCCTTTCAAACTTTGTACAACTACAACCCAAAGAGCCATCCCTCTCCATCTTCACTTTCCTTGCATGTTTCCCCAACAATATCAACAACTGTGTATATAGTACAAGCCTCGCTAGATTTAATTGTTTCTATGTCCGATTCAATGGAACGAAAGTACTCAATTTGGAACTCCTCAAAAATCTTTTTTGTGTACACATTACCCATTTGAATTAACATTATTATTGCCGCTTTCACCTTTGGCAACCTTTGGCATAAAGCATATCCTACTTCTAACTTCTTGTATTGCTTCTCATTAAGTACCCTTTCTAAATGCATGAAAAATTCATATAAATTAAAATCAAAACGAATGTCATCCTTCAAAAAAGCATTAAAAGATTCACTAAGTTGTGTGGTACTCATTCCCGCAGCCCATGTCGATCTAACATATGGCCAGCCAGCCCCATTTTTCTTTCACCGTAAAAGTCAATTTCAACCAATGGTTATCATGAGCATCATATTTATCAAGCATTTCAGCCCACTCTAACTTCCATTCATTTTCATCTTCAATGTGAATCATAAATTTATTTAGTACACCCTTTACCCCTTTATCTTGGAAGAGACAATTAATATGTTTTAATGCTTTTGGCATCAAATGCCAAGTACATAATCGGTGACTCATGTCAGGCACAACAATGGGTATGGCTTTAGTCATTACAGCATCTTGATCAGTGAACAAAGTTTTCGGTGCCTTTCTTGACCTAGCCTCTAAAAAAGTTTCAAACAACCATATAAACGATTCGGCGGTCTCATCATACAACAAGGTTGCACCAAATATAACTGTTTCCCTATGATGGTTGAATCCCACAAAAGATGCAAAGGGTCTATGTTTTTTGTTTAACTTGTAAGTCGTATCAAATGTAATACATCACCAAATTGGGCATAATCCATGATCATTTGTGCACCGACCCAAAACATATTCGTTATTTTCTCCTCATTATCTAACTGGAAAGCATAAAAAAAATAAGGATTCTACAAAGATTTTTCTTTAAAGTATTGCAATACATTGCCTACTTCCCCATATGCTAAACTTTGTTGTCTTTTGGTTCTCAAATAATTTTTTTTGTCTAATTTGGTAAACCCAAGACATTGTCTCCCACCGACTTCCTTATCCATGAGTTCAAAAGGCTGGCCTAAACGAAGACCAGATTGTGCAGCCAAATCTAACTCAAATGCTTGGGTAGTCGATATCTTTCTTTGTGGCGGCAACATGTGGGCACACTCGGGTGATATAAGTTCATGGCTGTGTTTTTTTTTTGAAATTAGTCACAACAAATTTCCTAGTACCCTTATCTAATTTGACATAAAGTTGAGCCTCACAACCAGTCATACTTTCAGCTCTAAGGTTTTTTGTCAATGGGTCTCGCTTGTCAACCTTCCAAAATCCCTCCTTGTTGCAAACCAAAAGTCTAGCAATAAGTTGGTCAGTGAACTTGTTCTTCCTAGAATAATCCCTTCTTATGCTAAACCCCATTCTTCCTCCATATGCATTATAAAAATCATACGCACCTTGTTCTGAATCAAAGAAAACTGGAATGTAACAACAACAACAACAAAAATAGAAGATACCCAAGTGTATTGTATGAGCAAAATCAGCATATTCAAACCAAGGATACAACAACCCATGTCCCAAAATTTTTCCAAGTACAAAGAAAACCTGACTAAATAGCTTCACAAACACCAATTCAAGAATACCCAGAAAGACCAGAGCACAATCAAACAAAAAGCTTGACAACCCATATCAAGAAAACTCATAAAATAAAAAATAAAATAAAATAAGTAAAAAATGAGATTTGTAAAATCTATATACCAGTCATCTGCTTGGCGAAGTGGTCCCACCAATCCAAGGACTCAAGTTGGTACAGAGACTGGTTTATTCACAAAGAAACTCTGGTTCGCGAAGTGAGGGCAGAGAGAATGAAGGCGAAGCAATGGGTTAAGTTTGGGGAGTGGGTTGCCGTCGAGAGGGTCGCCAGTGAGACGTGTTCGGTGAGATGGAGGAGAAGAGCGTAAGGGCTTTGGTTTGCGAAGCAGACAGAATCAATCCACCTCAATCGGTTGGGTTTCAAAAGTGGGTTGCCGTCGAGAGTGGATCACCGATGAGGGTGGGTTCGATGGAGGAGAAGGGATGAGTGTGAGGCTGAGTGAGAGTGAGTTCCAAAACAAAATGTGTATAACCTGTATAGCGTTGGGCGGGAAAATTTCAGTTTCGATTTGTTTTAATTTTTTTTTCTTCAAGATCTAGACCGTTGGATCTAGGTCAGGACATCAGAGTCGTTGCACGTAGGAAGTGAATGAGAGAAGTCAAGGAGGGGATTCGGACTTGTGAGACACACCTCCCTAGCAATCCAACCCCCTTCTTGAGTCAATCAAACAAACATGTCCTTTAGTTTCGACTCTTATTTTCCTTCCGTGTGGGTCTACTTTTTTGAGACTACTACAATTAACATTTTTGCCTCAAAATTTCACAATAAAATCGACTTTCTCTCTTTCCTATTTTCTCTAAAAAAATAATTGTATGTACTTTTTATATTTTTATTGTAGAAAAGCACAAAATTTTATAATTTTTTTTTGTAAATATTATTTTTATTTATTTAAAATATGGATGTTCAAAATTATGTGTGAAAATTCATGATTTAACAAAATGAAAGGATTTATACATTAAATAGTATTCGTTGTTTTACATTTTTTGAAGTGTGAAGTTGTTGAAAAAACTCATTATTTGTAATAAAAATTTTAGAGTAGATCACATTTTACAAATTATGATTAAAAAACTATTAAAAATGCCAAAAATATTAGAAATATATATCAAACAAACTATTTTTTTTATGGGTAAATTACACTCACCTCCCCTGATGTTTAGAAAAATACAATCAACCTCACATTTTTGACATAATTACACTAATTTTTCTTGAGATTTTAATTCGCATAACAACTAGACTATTTTTTTTATCAATAATTTGTTAATCATATTAATGAAAAAATAATATTGTATATTTATCTTTGTTTACTTTAATGTCTATTCATTATCTACATTAGTTTTGGCTGCTTTAACTTTACCAGAAGGAATATCAGTATAATCTACTGCTATTATATAAGTGTGAAAATTTGCCATGTTTTCTACTTTTTACCTATCTCGAAAATATCCTCCCAAACTTATTAAATATTAAACATCAACCTACATCTAGCGAACAACCAAACACCATCTGCAATTCAAATATCTTTTGTAACATGCTCGGGAGGTAATCGTGCGTGTTAAATAGTTCAGACCCTCGATTTCTTTGATCTAATCTCACGAGTGCAATGTGAAACATAAATAAGAGTCCAGATTTGGCAACTTTATAGAAAATCCATTTTATTACAAAATTATTGCCACAAATAGACTACATCATCAGATCTCAGAGTCGCCACCTAATATTTATTTTGGAAAAATTAAAAAACCCGTGACTCGTGCCAAGGCCACTGCTCATCGTAACCAACGATGCCTGGCTCGAAACCTTAGGTATGAAAGGGGAAGATCATTAATTGAGTATCCCTGCTTACCCGATCAAAAGATCGGCCTTTATTAAACCATGATATGAATTTTATTTTCTTTACATGTTCATGTTCTAATTATTTAATAAATTCTAAAATTTACTATGTGAAGCATACAAGTATAGACTATGCTATTCATTTTGGAACAATTTGATTTCATGTATTTAGAAAGAGTTTTGAAGATGTATAACCCAAATAAATTGAGTTTACAAACATGAAAAATCAACATCATTCCAAATTAAGTGACACAACTTCCATCCATTAGCATTCATACAGTTATATCAAGTAAGCAAGTAACCACATGGTAGGATGCTCAAACATAATAAGAAAAGCGCACACAAACAGGATGCTAAAGCATAACAACTTACATATTTACTGACGTCTCGCAAACAGCTACAAAACAAAATTAGTAAAATATGCATGATCCTATATACAAAATTCTAATGCAATACATACACAAGAATGTTTCTAAAGATCCGGCTTCTAAAACATGACATATTGCAAAACATGCGATAACGCACAAAATCATGTAATAATCAATGAAAGCACAAAGATGCAAATTTAGCCGAATCTAAGCATGAATCATGTATGTAAAAGCATGAATATGCATGGCATGCAAGATATATACATATGTTCAGTTAGGGAAAGTGATTAAAGAATGGGATAGATAAGAGGTGGGGATGGGGAATTATTACAACACTTTAAATATTATAAATCTGAGGGAGAATAATCCTCACAAACACTCAAAATAAAATAAACATAACAAAATAGCAGCTTTAAGCGCTTCAAAGACCAACAGAGGTTGATCTTCTCAACATCGAAAGGCTGCCTGGTTTTGCCTAGAGGTCATAGGCACGGTCATGAAGGTTGCGGGTGTGATGGTGTACTTTTAAGTGGCTACCGGACCAACTAACCGGTCGGGTAGCCTAATAGGCTCGGCCAAACTCTATTTTCTTAGATTTCTACAACAAAAACAAAACTAAAATAGTATGTATGGGAGTCTCAACTCACCACTTTCAATTAGATTACAACAATATATAAAATAGCAAGAAATCAAAGTAAAAGAGCAAAATAAGTAAGAAATACAAGAAAATGAAGAGTTTGTGAAATTCACCTTCCAAAGAAATGATGAACTCCTTAGTTCACAAACTCCCTCTTGTTCACCCTCAAGTGTAGGAAGTGTGTTTTCAAATCCTCAATTCGAAATTATGGAGTTTATGGAGTTTATGGTATAGAAAGTGGCTAACTCTCTAGTTTTTCTCACTTTCAATTACTAAACACTCTTCCTTATGATTAAGGCAATTGATCTTTGGCTATATCAGAAATTTTGGAGTGGTTTTGGTGTATAGAAATAAGGAATTTCAGTAGCTATGGAAGCTTGGAAGTGTTTTGGATCAAGGTTGCACTTTAGACAATTTTTTCTAGTTTGCTCTCTTTCTCTCTAACTCTCTTGAATGATTTTTTTCTCTCCTCATTCCATCCTCCTCCTCTTCAATGTACAATCTGAATGTATAAGCTATGAAGGAATGAACAAGTCAAGGAATGAGGGACAAGTTGGAAGACAAATGTGATAGGGATGACAAGGATGATAATGGAGCTAATAAAGCACTAATAGAGCTAATAAGAGACAAAAATGGAGCCTTATCTCCAATGGATCAAGCACTAGATGATAGAGCTAATGGGTCAATGAGGTGTCCCAACCGAACCAAAACCAAAAAAAAAATGGGTCTGATGCTGTTTCGGGTTGGGTCAACAAAATATGCTCTTAAGCCCAAATGGCATATATCTTTTATCCGAACTCGGGTTTAGGTAATTCTTGGATCTAAATTGAAGCCCCATAAGTCTACTTTCCAATGGTGGTAGCCTCACATCTAAATTCCAAGTGTACAAAGAGATATACCTAGTTTAATGAAATCTATTCATTTCCTTCTTAATGATTTGATGCCCATCCCTTTCGTAAACTAGTTTTCTTCCATCCCCTCTTATTTCCTTCAACTCTAAACCTATTGTGGGGGAGTATTTTTTGAATAAAAGCACGTGGCTAAGGTGACACCGGAGTGTCAACCGAGGTGCTACGTAGCCTGGTTATGCTACCAAGGTGATCTCAGCTAGGCCGGGGTTATCTGTAGAGATACCAGAATTGGAGATAAGCAGATAAGAGACAAAAGCAGGGGAGGGTCTCAGTCTGGATAGAGATAAGGCTCAAGAAGAGTTTATCTCTATCTAGATGAGGATCTAGGATTGTCACGACCCAAACCCGCCCCTATAGGTTTAGCATTGTAACCGGCTAGTAATCCTTGAATTACCGAAGGCCTCTGAACAGATAAGCATATAATAAGGGGCTAGTGGAAGCAAATACATAAATATAGTTATCCAATGAGCTGTGTTGACTTATATGAAACAGAATATTTAAAACTTTATATACATAGTCAAAAGTCAATCATACATTATACCCACACACATTGAAGTATCTGAAGTACAGCCAACAGAATTACATCAAGTCATATATATACACAGGACCAACAGAACTTGAACACAGGACACTTCGGGAACCTCCACGTGAGGCACAATGGCTGGCTGACAACAGAACACAGATCTAGATAAAAAGTCTCCAGACTTGAACTCCAGAATGCTCACCGATACATATATATATATACAAACAGTGAGCTAAAGCCCAGTGAATAACATTAAGGTAAAGAGGTTAGTGAACGAAATCTGAATATATCATAAACAGAAAACAGATCATAGCATAATCATTCTCATATCAGAACATAATAATGGTACATCCCATAAAACACATTACAGAACGTCTTCCGACTAGAGTAACCAGTTCCGGATATCGATTAAACACATATCACCACAATGAAGTGGCTAACGAGATCTTGTAAACTTGTATGTCATGGACCCGCAATTTCATGCCGTCCCCCATGACTTGGGACTATCTATGGATGCCATTCTTCAAACTTGGGATGTTCGTTCACGTAAAACAGATATCATAACAGAAATCATAGCTTATCACATTTCATTTGGAACTTAATTTCATATAAACGTATCTTTACGATAACGTTACTCACAGTGGTTCTCGCAAACGGTTAATCAATCTTCAAACGTTGACCTACAATCACAAAAGTACATAACACAACATATCTCATTATTACACGTTCACATGGCCAACACAGCTTAACTTTTATTACGTTGGTTCTTGTTCATACTTAGCACATTGATTAAAACACAAACACTTGCAGTCTCGGAACTTGGTACATTCTTTTCTTAGTGTGTTTCT